ATGAAAAAACATTTTCTCTTCCAACAAGCATTGTGACTTTCAAATGACCTTGTAAAATGGCTTCAAAGACAGCATGGCATTTTACACAATTAATTTCCAAAGGTATCTTTCTAATATTTATTCTACCAAAAAATTTGAAAAAAACTAGTTATTAGGAGGTTTTTTCAAGTATTTGACCTTCAATTGACCTTCTCAGGTCATAAATACAAACTTGAAATATCATTTTAGATGTAATTTTTCCCGCTCTACACAATTAAAAAAGCACTCTGACCTCCAGATGTCCTTGAAAATCGAATTAAGGGTTAAAGTTGATGATAGCATTTGGTAGCCAACTCAGTCCCATACAACTTTTGTAGAGGTCATTTTTTGATAACGTTTGTTTTTACTAGGTTATGCGCGTGGTCGGATTAAAATGAAACACCCTGTATGTATACAGAGTGTCCCATTTTAACTTTCACAGCTATGTATCTCGGAAACAAGCCCGGAAAGCTAAAAAATGATTCATATGAAAATTGTTCAGGATCGAAGGGGCCATATGTTGATGAACTTGAATTTGATCTTGAACGCCACCCGTCAGAGTCATTTCAAGGTTAATTTTGTTTTTGAATAGGAACCCCTATTTTTGACCACGAATTCGGATTCTTCGTGAAATGCTAAACTTAGATCGTATAATATGTGTGGGGTCCCGGTGCCGTCCACTCCCCAATTGCCACCCCAAAAGGTTATTTCCAGGTCAATGTTGTTTTTTCAATGAAAACCCCTATTTTTTAACACGTATTTGAGTTCCTTGTCAAAATCTACGTTCAGATAAAGCTACATGTGTGGGGTACGGATGATCTCCTCAATAACCCCCCCCCCCCCCCCAAGGTCATTTCAAAGTCAATGTTGTGTTTTCAATTGAAACCTATATCTTTGACTGGAGATTCTAATTCTGCATGAAATTCTACGTTCAGATGATAATTTGTAAATGAATGATGAATCTTTGATACCTTTATTTTCATACTTTTTAGCATACGAGGAAATTTGGCCGAGGTCACACTGGTACGAGTACACCTTCAGAGATAAATCTTTGTCGCCCTCTAACTCGTGAACAATAAACTTTTGTTAAATCGGACCGAATCTGTATTATTCGTTTTCAAAAGATTTATTGATTCCGAAATTCTTGATAAATTATGATGAAAATTAACGACTATATAAAGGTTTTTTTTTCTTTTGCAATCTTGGAAACAAGATATTGTTATTAAAAAAATTTATTTGGTGACATATTGACTCTTATACAGAATTTCATCGGGAATCTAATGCCGCCGAGCTTGTTATCTCAATGGAATGATTAGAACAAGATATATAATCAAATAATTAAAAAAAGTACTGTTTTTTCATTAAACTCGTAAACAAACAATGTTCCGCCATCTCTCAACATCCGAAACTATTTTTCCCATTATGTACTTTTTCTTCCACGGCAAAATAAAAAAAATCGCGCTGTTTAAAGATTGTTTCTATTTTTTTTCGGACAGAGGACTGGTCTAGCATCTAAACTAACAATAGTGCATTTCCTTTTCATAAATAAGTGCATTCGGCTTCGTGAAAACCTTATGGCGGTTCTACAACACGGATTGAGTCATCGGTAGCTTTCAAGTGTTCTAGAACCGCCATAGCTTATCTACTACTGAGGTAGATATTAATTTTATCACTTTTCAGTCACCTGTTTGCGCCAAAAGTTCCAAGATGTATGCGCTCGGTTTTTTGTGAGAACGCAAAGATACGGATTAATTATAAATTTCAAAGATCGTTGACGCTACGTTATTTTTTTTTTATATGGTAGATAAAGCAGATGATGAAAATGTATTCTATTCATGCGTTCACTCGGATATTCAAAGAAAAATAATTAAAAGAAATAAAATGAAAAAAATTTTCCCGACGTCACATTTTTGAATATCATTGGAATTTTTGAGCTACTATATTTTTCTGTTGAGCAATAAAACTGTTTAGCTCTCATGATTTTTTGTGTGGGGGTGCGTAAAAACGTCTGGAAAGGAGTACATCTCCATTAATTGATCATGTATGAAGTTCGACGCGTGTGTGATGTATGAGATATTTTATATCCGTATAATTACGGTTATATACCTTGTAACATGGTGTTTTGCCGACTCAAATTGATGCTGGGTCGTGGCTTACCTTGATAGCAGACAGCCGGAGATGATTCAGCTCAAAATGTTTACTAACATCCTTTGTTCTCCGTGGGATTTGAATAATATCCAACGTCGGATAGACAGAGGAAGCAGGTTATTGAAATAAGTAAAGTAATTGGTATAAAATTGAGCCGATTTATTAAATAACAATCTATTGTAACGGGGGAGATAAATCTGAAAATGGGAAATTTATTAAAGAACAAACTCCCACGATACAGAGCAAACCGCAGCTCCGTTAAACACGTATGATAATACGTGTATTCGCCTTAACGTCAGATGATTTATCCTATTTGTCTTCTATCGATCGGAGTTGAACTCACCTTAAGTCACGTGTCTTGTTACACTTGATGAGTTTTATGTGTGAGCGACTTTACTCCTAATCTTCTTAATCCCCTAGATGTAATTGGACTAAAATCTAAGCCTGTTTCAAATACTTAAGCTGCCAGGAAAATCAAATGACGAAAACGGCGAATAAATTTAACAGACTTTAATTAATAAAAAAATCACTACAGTCTTTGTTGGGCCGAAAGACTGACGCACGAAAATAGTATTTTACAATTTAATTATGTTCGGTGAGAAAGAGAGAGAGAGAGAGTAGATTTGAATTCTACCGCGAACTAACGCACGGCGCGATTACAAAAAATAACGCTATCACGAATAAACAAAATATCTAATATATTTTGTATCACTTAATATGACGGGAGGTGCACCTACCATGCGGTGCATTTACGGTGATCAGCCGTAATTGTTGTTGTAAAAAATCTCAACTGCCGCTGCCCCTTAATTATCAGCTGCGCTGCCTCGATCTGCCTCAAATTAGCTACAAAGCTGCTGCTTCTCTACTGCTACTGGTTATCTTGAAAATGCCGTTGCACTCACGCACGAGATTGTCCCAAAAAAACTAATTATTCGGCGAAAACAAAGTGCAATACAAATCGGCGGTAAATTCACTTTCACAGCTGAGGCGTAACTGCTTATTCAAATGATCGCGCGCCCCCTCTCTCTCTCAATAGTTCGAACTAACGCGCGAGAAGCAGAATCGCGAACGGTTCGATTAATTAAATCGACTACCGTTGCACTATGTAATTATCTTGCGTAAAACTAATAACAATTGGAATTCGTGGAAAATCGGTGAAAAATTTCTAAGATCTATAAATTTCTAAGATCGGTGAAAAGTGAAAAATTTCTAAGAACAAAAATGTTTTAAAATTAGTCAAGAAATACTCTCAAATTTTTTCAATTTTTTTTACAGCGAATTTGGAAATTTCGATTTTCCGATTTTCCACGAATTCAAAAATTAACTCTCTCGCCTAAAGTCCTATCGCGTCGCGATCAGGAAAATCGACTTTTAGCGAGGGTAGCAAAAAAAAATAATTGTTAGACTTGAAATTTTTTTAAATTTTGTGAAACCAATTTGAAAAAAATGTATACTAGGAATAAAATTGATTAATTTTTTACTCAAAAACTATTGACTCAATAAAAAAATTCATAATAACAAAAGAGTCTTAAAATTTACCATGGAGTACTCTCAATTTTTTTCAGAATTTTCCGAGTTAATTTTCGAATTCCTGGAAAATCGGAAAATCGAAATTTCCAAATTCGCTGTAAAAAAATTTGAGAGTATTTCTTGACTAATTTTAAAACATTTTTGTTCTTAGAAATTTTTCACTAAACTTGATAGTTTTGGAGAAAAAAATTCGTCAAGTTTAAAAAAAAAATTTTTCCTTTCGAACGCCATTTTGTGTTCGCCATTTTAAATTTCGGAAATAATCCAACGGCATTTGAAAGAAAAGACATCTATAACACCGATAACAGTGTTTTCAATGGTGTGTGCAAACTTTTTCCATTTCAAAATATACTTTTTTTAGAAAAAAAAATGCGAAAAATTTGTGAATTTTCCGGAAAACCGGTCTATAACGTTTTCGGCTTACAATTTAGGTAAATTTTGTCAATGGCATTCGAAAGAGGAGATCAAAATCTACAAGATGTGATGCTTGATAAATTTTTCATACGATTTTTTCATTAAAAGATATGAGGATGAATGTTAAGAAAAAATTTGTGTTATTTGGGAGAAAAAGGGTTAATTCTCTTTCGAAATTGCTCATGACTATTCGTAACCATACTTAGGAGAAAAACTGTCCTTAACTGAGCTGGCCTGAAAAAGGATATTTGATGAGCTTGGAGAACAAAGACTAAGAGAGCGAGAGAGAGAGAGAGAGAGTGTGTGTGTGAAATGGTAATTGCGAGGCAGTCTTATCAGTTTTGGGAAAATTTAAGAAACTCAATAATAAGAATTAAAACGCGATTTTGCCGACCGTAAATTCGACGATAACCCTACCTTTTATCGATGAATTTAGGGCAGATTCACACTCCGAATCAAGTTAGGAACAAGAATCGTTCTAGGGTGGTAGAAATCTGAAAGTCTGGTTATCATAACAATCCCTGAACTGTCCGTCAGAACTGCCTTTATAAGTATATGACATACCTATCAAATAATACGTAAAAGTAAGGGACTAATGTAGCGCAGCACATCACGAGCTTATAAGTACTATACCATATAACTTTCATGAATTTGTTGATTATAAAAGAACCAGTAATAAAGTAATAATTAAATTATTACAATATGAAGACTGCATGTACAAAATTATTTTATATTCAGTTATTTTTTTAAAAGAATTATCATATATGATTCATTTTAGATGTTTCAATATTAAAAAATATTTTAGTAAATTTCAATGACTCAAGCTATTGTATACTTGCTATTTAGTTGTACGAATAGATTTAATTTGATTTCTTGTCCTTTTTTTACAGAGATTATCAAGGTAGTATTGAGTTCCGTCCTCTAAGAGAAACAGATGCAGTAGAAGACCACCAAATAACAGTTTGTGTCAGAAAACGTCCATTGAATAAGAAGGAAATCGCTAAAAAAGAAATAGATGTCATTAGTGTACCCAGAAAAGATCAAATAGTTGTTCACGAGCCTAAAGCAAAGGTTGATTTAACAAAGTACTTAGAAAATCAATTATTTAGGTTTGATTATGCTTTTGATGAATCATGTAATAATGAGATAGTTTATAAATTTACGGCAAAGCCATTGATTTCAACAATTTTTGATGGTGGCATGGCAACATGCTTTGCTTATGGACAAACTGGAAGTGGAAAAACTCATACAATGGGTGGAGATTTCAATGGAAAAACGCAAGATTGTAGAAAAGGAATATATGCAATGGTAGCTAAAGACGTATTTAAGTGCCTAAAAATACCCAAATATCGCCCATTGAACTTGATTGTTTCAGCTAGTTTTTTTGAAATATACTCAGGAAAAGTATTTGATCTTTTAGCGGATAAAGAAAAATTACGAGTACTAGAAGATGGAAAACAGCAGGTAAATAGTATTATAATTTAAGAATTATGGTTTCTACTTCTGAAAAATACAAATATCAATAGCAAACTTCAACAGCTTCAAAATAATCAATTACATAATTTTTTAACTACACCCTTGTGTTCCTTTCACCTAAGTTACTTGAAGCTAGCCTGTTCATTTCACATACTATTTCTTAATAATCATTAAATTAACTGTCCTTAAAATTTACAGTGAATAGATTCTACAATGTTATTTCATGCAATATTTTAATTTTTTATTATTCTATTCACATAGATAAAGAGAAGGAAAATACAAGCAGATATGATTAATTTTATAATATAAATTTAAACAATAAACAAAATATTGACTTCAAAATGAATCTTTTAAACAATTATATTACGATGTTGAATTTTCAAATTCAATTATAAATGGGGTTTAATTTTTTAAATATAATATTTTAATATTCAATATTATATAAGAACTAATTACATTTGAATTTCTTCAAGAACAACAAAATTTGATTCTCACAATATTCCAATAATCATCAAAATTTGGTTAGTAAAAATAAGTAATCTGCTATTAAAAAACATGAATAATATGAATGTTGCTATTGCGACCTTCACCAACTTTATCATTGCTCAATTATATTTCCTAGGTACCCGATTTTTTCCTGAACATTTACGGATCGCTTTCATAAATATTCTCTCTCTCTCTCTCTCTCTTTTCTTTCTCTTCCTTCATATACACTAAATAATGTGAGCCATTTCTTTAACGTACTGTTTCGCATAGTCGTGTCTTCATTCAACTTTCAAGGAGCTGAGTTGGTACAAGCGATCAGATATATATTATTAACCCTTCACAACGAAAAACGTCATTTTCTGAGCATGTTTTTGATCGCAAAATCCATTTGTAAAACGGAACAAAAAATTGATCTGAGGTATCGTCCCTTATGTATTTGGGTGTGCTGAATCCAAATCCGGGCTCAACATTGGAAATTGTTGTTTATAAAAAAAAAATGCGGTTTTTTTATAAAAAAATAGTAAAAATTCTTTTTTTCCTGAATTTCTTTTACCCCTAAACGTATCGAAATCAAAATCTTTCTTCAACCATGAGTGCACAAAATAGTTGAACTTTAACAGAAAATTTTTATATTTGAGCTTTTTTTTCAAAATGACGAATAAAATGCCGAAATCTGAAAAAAAAATACTTTTCTCGTTACTATTTGTTTTTTCCAAAACAATAAGGTTTAGAAAAAAGTTTTTTAAAACAAAAATGTTTTGTAATTTGTCTAGAAATACTCTCAAATTTTTTTCAGAGTCGTTGCAGAAAATTTTTGATTTTTTAAAAAACCAGAAATTCGAAGTTTTCAGAAATTTTTCAAAAAAATATGAAAAAATTAGAGTATTCTTTGACTAATTCTAAGACTTTTCTATTCTCATAAGTTTTTTCCTTAAGTCTAGAGTTTTCGAGAAAAGAATATCAAACTTGTGCGAATTCTTTTCAACCGTTTTAACTTTTGAAACTTCCCAGTACAATTTAGAGTCCAGACGTACAGAATTTCCATTCCCCAAGAAGCTCTAAATACAAGAAATGATCCGTATGCCTATAAATTATATACTTTACTCATAACGTAAGCCATCCTTTCTTTGAGAAAATTTTTCCTAAAGACTATTTGGTGACATCAGTGGTTGAAGTCGATAAAATATATCTTGGTTTTCCAATCGAAAAGTTATTCAAATACAGCATCCTGAAATAGCGAGGTTTCCTGAACAATTTGTTTTTATATCTATACTTGCAATGCCACGAAAACGATCGAGGCATGCTGTTTCTCCTGATCCTGAAAGTGATACTGAAGTATATACAACAGACGATGATGAGAACTGTATGATACCAAATGCAGATTATTCTGGTTCCTCAGATTCTGAAAATGCTTCAGATAATGATTTGGATAATTATCGTGTTAAAAAATTGGCAAAAGCTACTTTCAAGAGGGCTTCGAAAAGTTATCAGGCAGATAAAAGTAAGCTTGAACATGATCATAAATTTGAATAGGTAAATAGGGAAAGGATATATTCTGATGAAACATTTATAACGTGTGAAATTGCTGACTCATTATGTCTCTCTCTCCCTAGTAATGATAAGTATATGTAACATATTTCTCCGAACCTATCCTATGTTTTTATTATTTTAAATTTATTATATTTATATTCATTTATTATATATATTTACATATGTAATTACACTTCTGTTCTGATATAAGGTAAGTGAGGTGAGAGAGAGATGCGAGTACGCAGAGATACTTCCCTGCGCGACAGTAAGGCGCGGAGAGACAGAGAGAAACATAGTCGCGCCTTAGCGAGTGACCGCGCGCATTGATTGGCTCATTGACGAAAGCGAGTACTTTAGCGCGCGGCGCGAGCAGTAGCTGTCTAGACACGCGAGTGAGCAGACAGAGTCCTTTGTTCCAACTGCCTTCTTTCCTTGGACCTTGACTGTGGCCTCCTGCCCTTTTTCTTAGCCCTTGGAGTGTGTGTCCCTGTTCAAGGAGGAATTGCGACGTCTCCTGGCTCAATCGTATCCCGCTGTTTTATTCGACCGTCCTACCTTTTCGCATCGACAACCGCTTTTGAATTTCCGACTTTCGCGTTCCTTAGCCAACACTACGAATCTGCGCTGATCCGTCCGTCCTGTCACCGGCGTGACGAGCACCGGACCTGGGAGGACGACTAAGTACAATAAGCTTCAGACTTCGTTTGTTCGATCATTCCCCATTTATTGTTTTTTTTTATATTCACGGGGTAAACCGGGCTAAATCCCCGTTATATAATTTGGCGCCCAACAAAGAAATGTGTGGTTAAAAGTGTAAAATCTGATTTCCGCGTGCCGACAACTCAACAACTCGCGCAAGCCTGCTTTGTTGACATTCCAGAGTCGAGCAAGCGCATACCATAACAAGGCGACTTCGCTCACACGGTGTCAATTTCACTGTTACTTGCCGGTTTGTTGACACTCTAGAGATTGATTGCGTGCGTACCGAAATATTGTACACGAGTGCGGAACAAAAAAATATTTTATATATTCTAAAAATTGAGCGACGTTGGGAATAAGTGAAGACGCTCACGCTAAAACACGGAAAAACAGCTACACTAATATTTATTAGCGGTTGTTTAATTCAAATAAAAATAATTACGCAATTTCGTAGACGTTATATACGTAATATTGCCGATCGGTCATTTTACTATTTGTTGTAATTCTCGACCACGAATTTATAGAAATTTGCTAACTAGATAACGCTTCGCTCCCATATATTAATTCACATAATGTCAAATACAAATTTTCAGAGTAGATGTTGATAGACGTTCGCCAATCAGTTGTGATTCTTACAGTGGAACAAATGAAACAACACCAAGGTAAATAAGACGAAAATATAATGTCCAACTACTGCTCGTCATTGAAAAAGGAAGATCATGATCTTACTAGTCACAAACGTAAATCTCTTCAACGATCGTTTGAAACGAACCGCTAACATTTTCACGTAAAGTAAGCATAACATCACAGACATGTCGGTTATGGCTTTAAGAATCAACATTCTAGAAATTGCCAGCTTCTCAACTTATTTAACTAGATTGAAGCTCATGTTAAAATGCTGTGGATTATAGTCACTCAAGTTGATTTTTCCTTGGTTTGGCTATCGCTCACCACTGCATTTAATTCTAACGTTCGAAAGTTACTGTGCACATAGGTTCTTCTGTCACTGAATTGACGTCGTAGGTGAAAGTATCAGGCCTACCTTTATATTTTCGTGCTAGCGTTATTCTTCATCATCTAGTGGGTGGCATCCTTCAAAGTAATCCCCACTTGATTGAACAACACGGTTCCATCGATGTTTCCACTTTTCAAAACAGTCCTGGAACTCACTTTTAGGGATAGCCTTAAGTACACTCATCGGATTGTTTTTAACCGTTGTTTTGTCATCGAATGGGTGTCCTTTGAGTGGTTTTTTTAGTTTTGGAAACAGCCAAAAGTCACAAGGGGCTATTCGGGACTGTATGGAGATTGTCGAAGTAATGCGATATTGTGTTTGCTCAAAAACTGCTGCACAAGATTGGATGAATGCGCTGGCGCATTATCGTGATGGAGAAGCCAGTCACCACTTTCCCAAAAGTGCAGCCGTTTTTTTCTTACTGTATCATGCAAACGTTTCAAAATTTGAATGTAGTATTTTTTACTGTTTGTCTGACCTGTTGATACATATTCGTGATGTACAACACCTTCACAATCGAAAAAAACAATCAATAATGACTTAACATTGCTCCGATTTTGACGTGCTTTTTTTGGCTTCGGTAGGCCCGGGTTCGATTCCCAGTCCCTGCTGATAGATACAAGCACCACTGAAAAAAGTTTCATGTGCTTTGTTCTCAAACACATTGCAAGCCTCCGTCCTTGATTAGCACTGATGGAGCATAAATAGTGCGACGTTAAATAAAAAAAAAACAAAACAACAACTAAAATATTTATTCCGACGTTGCCGTGGATACAAACGTACAAATTCGATATTATAAATCGCATTCGTAACACTACCCCCTCCTTTGAAAAATTGTCGTCCTCGACAATAAGAACATCTTAAACCAAGCTGGTTAATCCGTCTTCAACCAATGCCAAATCTTCAAGCACAGCCGAACAAACATTCTAGAAGAAAACTGGGACCCGTCTTTTGATTCTTGAATCTTCTCTCTTGCCTCAAGTAGGTTGATCTTCAGTCTTCCAATGATGACTCTAGGCCCCAAGCCAATCACCATTCCAGAAAACAAAGGACCCGTTTCTTGAACGTCAGGAAATTTCGAAAGGAGCATTATGGGGGTCATATAGGAGATTGAACTTGGTTGGGAGTTGACGCTCTGTGGTCCAACCCAAGTTCCTGTTCTAGCATTTGCCCACAGCTTGAGGAAAATCGCAGCACCAAAAATTCAAGCAAAATAGTTCTCCAATTAACGACGGTCAACGTATTTCACAAGTCTATC